CTTGCTTTTTTAAAATATGCCAGTCCTGGGACTTGATGTCTATCTGGGCTCTGTCCCTCCAACCACAGCTCCACTCACAGCTTTTTGGTGGTTAGTTGAAGAGACCATGGACATTCCAGTCTGGGCTGCCTTTGAGCTAGGATCCATGCATAGCTAGGATTATATACATGCACCACTGACACCCAAGTAATAAACCCCAGAATTTTATCCCTCATCTCACAGAACTGGAACTTCACCCAGTGAACCAACAATTCTACTCTTATTCCCTAGAGTCATGTAGGGATTTTGTGTTTTGATGAGAGGCCTGAAAACTTCCTGTGTACAGGGGCTGTAGCCACGTAGCACTATGTTGTTTTTCTTTCAGTCTATGTGGAGTGGAAATGGGTCAGTAGTCAGTCCAGTTCTTCGTTTCTAACCCGTAGATGAAGTTGTGTCAATAGTAACTGAGGACATGGAGCAGTGGCTGCCCTCTTCTGACCCCAGGTCGTGGTGGGTGTTTGGGTAGGGATTCAATGACCTTGAAAAGTGCTATTCTAGAGACACCAAAGGAGAGGTGGCAGCTCTCAGTAGTGTTTCACCTCCTTTTCCCCCAAGTACAGTGCAAGCCAGCTCAAAGAGTCTGGGGAGGTCAGGCCCAGAGAGGGCCTCCTGACCATTGGTGGTGCCCTGGTCATGGTGGCTATGGCCTGGTAGAGGCCTGCCAGGCTGCGTTCTGTCTGCACTGGGTGTTTTGACAGCGATGCTATAGCTGCCACCCTTCTCTGGTTCCTTGGAAGGTCACTCAGGCCAAGGCCTTGTGCAAGGCTGCCCATCTGCCTTCTGTACCCGCCAGTGTTGCTGGCTGTTCAGTATGCATGGAAACAATCCTTTAGCTCTGAGGCTAGAGAATATCCAAGTCTTGCCTGGATATCAAACCTAAAACCAAACCAAGTTTAGAATGTATTTGTCCTAGGAAAATCCTGGCTAGATGTAATAGGAAAATAGTGTTTGGGTTTTTTTTTTTTTTTTTAACTTTTTTTGTCTTTTTTGGTACTGGGGACCGAACCCAGGACGTTGCACTTGCTAGGCAAGCGCTTTGCCACTGAGCTACATCCAGCCCGGAAAAGAGTGTATGTGGCCACAAACCTGGGAACTTAGATGTGTTGTTTTTTTTTTGCCGGTCATGGGGCCTGAACTCTGGGCCTGGGCGCTGTCCCTCAGCTCTTCAGCTCAAGGCTAGCGCTCTACCACTGGAGCCACAGCTCCACTTCCGGCTTTTTCTGTTTATGTGGTGCTGAGGAATCAAACCCAGGGCCTCATGCTTGCAAGGCATGCACTCTACCGCTGAGCTACCTTCCAGCCCCCTTAGATGTGTAGTGGGTGCAGACTTTTTTTTTTTTGCCAGTCCTTGGGCTTGGACTTCAGGGCCTGGGTACTGTCACTGAGCTTTAGCTCAGGCTGGCACTACCACCTAAGCCACAGTGCCACTTACGGCTTTTTCTGTGTATGTGGTACTGAGGAGCCCAGGGCTTCATGCATGCTGGGCAAGCACCAAGCCACATTTCCCGGCTGTGTGGTCCTGTGAGTTTTTATCCAATGGATTTGTGAGCAGCAGGTCCCATTCAGCCTAGTGTTTATCGTGGCTGTCTAGGCTTGCTCCAAGCTGACCAGGAAAGCTGCCCCGCCCCCTCACCCCCCCAGCCACTCACACACCTGCCTTGCCCCTTCTCTGGTGTGAGCACTTGAGCAGGAAAGCTGCCCCCCCCCCCCCCCCCCCGCACTCACACACCTGCCTTGCCCCTTCTCTGGTGTGAGCACTTGAGCAGGCAGGTGTCTTCTCCGTCCTGTGTGGCCATCAGATGTGTGGGGAAATGTTTTTGCAAGTATCCGTGCTGCGCTCATAGCTCTGGTCAGTTGCGTTGTCCGTTGGTTCAGTTCGCAGTCTGGATGTTTGGGATGAGGCCAGCCAGCACTGAGTAGGTCCCCTGGCTCATGTAGCTATTGTAGCTGATGTATGTAATGTATTGTAGCTAATGTAGCTAATGTAGCTATTGTTTCAGGGGTCTTTCAAACTTTTTGTTCAGGCTGTCCTTGAACTTCAAGTCTCTGTCTCCCATGTAGCAAGGATAATGTGGAGTCCACCAGCACCTGGCTTCAGCAGTACCTCCTACCAGCTAACTTCTTTTAAGAGCACCGATTGGGGCTGGGAAGGTGCCGGGACAGCGCCCAGGCCAAGTTCAAGCCCCATGACCGACAAGAAAAAAAAGCACCAATTAAGGGCTGGGAAGGTGGCTCAGTGGTAGAGTGCTTGCCTTGCATGCATGAGGCCCTGGGTTCAATTCCTTAGTACCACATAAGCAGAAAAAGCCAGAAGTGGAGCTGTGACTGGAGTGGTAGAGCTCTCACCTTGAGCTAAAGAGCTGAGGGACAGCACCCAGGCCCAGAGTTCAGGCCGCGAGACCAGCAGAAAAATGCTGATTAAATGCATATGGAGTGGTGCTGGGCTCCCTCTGTATACATACACACTCGCCTTCCTGCCCAGTCCGACTGAGCAGAGCCTGGGACAGGCAGGAGCAGACAACTCCAGCCTGGTAGAGTGAGAGGCTCCCGAGCTGTACTACTTGGGGGGAAATGAAGCCTTGGGAGTGAGGAGGGAGGGAGGAGGGTGGCCAAGGTTAATGTCCTGAAGGCAAGTGTCCCAGGGATAGGGCAGTGCATCCAGAGTGACCTCCAGGGAGGCTTCTGTCCTCAGACAAGTCCCACCCTCCCAACTTCCCGTTACCTCCGAAATGTAAACACTGGACACTGGCCTACTGGCCAGGGCTTAAGATGAAGGCTATTCGCAATGGCCGTGACCTCGGTGCTTTTGAAGAAGCTGAGAAGAGGGGATGGGAAGTTGGCTCAGTGGTAGAGCGCTTGCCTTGCATGCCTGAGGCCCTGGGTTCGATTCCTCAGCACCACATAAACAAAAAGAAAAAACCCGGAAGTGGCAATGTAGCTCAAGTGGTAGAGCGCTAGCCTTGAGCTGAATCAGAGCTGAGGAACAGGGCCCAGGCCCAGAGTTCAGGCACCACGACTGGACCCCCCAAAAAACCCCCATAAATCAAGAAGCTGAGAAGAGCAGAGGAGAGCAGAGCAGGGTGTGGAGTGGAGGTAGGGGGAGAGGAGCAAGAGCTGGGGTCCATATGGGGAACACTTCCTAACATGTCCTGGTGATTTTTTTTTGTTACGGTCGTGGGGCCTGAACTCTGGGCCTGGGCGCTGTCCCTCAGTTCTTCAGCTCAAGGCTAGCGCTCTACCACTTGAGCCACAGAGCCACTTCTGGCTTTTTTCTTTTTGCTTATGTGGTGCTGAGGAATTGAACCCAGGGCCTCAGGCATGCAAGGCAAGCACTCTACCACTGAGCCACCTTCTGGAATTGAACCCAGGGCCTCAGGCATGCAAGGCAAGCACTCTACCACTGAGCCACCTTCCTAGCCCCCAGGTGATATTTTTGGCATTACATTTTGCTTTTGAATGTCAGTCATGGGCTTGACTCAGGGCCTGGGCACTGTCCCTGAGCTCCTTTGCTCAAGGCTAGCACTGTTCCACTTTGAGTCACAGCTCTATTTCCAGTTTTCTAGTGGAAGATAAAAGTCTCAGACTTTCTTGCCAGGGCTGGGCTGGCTTTGAACCGTGATCTTCAGATCTAAGCTTCCTGAGTAGCTAGGATTTACAGGCATGAGCCACCAACTCTCAGTTTTGGTATTTTCGATGTAGATGTAAACATGTATAAACGTATAATTTAAGGGCTGAGAAGGTGGCTCAGTGGTAGAGTGCTTGCCTTGCATGTATGAGGCCCTGGGTTCGATTCCTCAGCACCACATAAGCAGAAAAACCTGGATGTGGTGCTGTGGCTCAAGTGGTAGAGTGCTAGCCTTGAGCTGAAGAGCTGAGGGACAGCACCCAGGCCCAGGCCCAGAGTTCAGGCCCCATGATCAACCCCTCCCCCCTCCCCCCCCCCCCCCCCCCGAAAAAAAAAAGTATAATTTAGAAGTTACTCTTTTTTTTTTTTTTGCCAGTCCTGGGACTTGAATTCAGGGCCTAGGCACTGTCCTCCAGCTACTTTTGCTCAAGGCTAGCACTCCACTTGAGCCACAGCACCACTTCCCGTTTTCTGGTGTTTAATTGAGATAAGAGTCTCATAGACTTTCCTGCTGGGGCTGGCTTTGAACCGTCAGATTTCCGCTTCCTGAGTAGCTAGGATTACAGGTGTATGCTACTGGCGCCCGGCTTGGGGAAGTAAATGTCACCTCTAGAGTTTGTGGAAAGTCCTCATCATCCACCAAGGTGTGAGATGGTGGTGAAGACAAGATGGCGTTACTTAGACCCAGTATCCATATTTCTTTTTGCCAGTCCTGGGCTTGAACTCAGGGCCTGGGCACTGTCCCTGAGCTTCTTTTGCTCAAGGCTAGCGCTCTACCACTTGAGCCACAGCACCTCTTCTGGCTTATTCTGTGTATGAGGTGCTGGGGAATCGAATCCAGGGCCTCATGCATGCGAGGCAAGGACTGTACCACTGAGCCACCTTCCAGCCACTGTGTGGCTGTGGTATTTTTTTTTTTTAGTTTTAGTGGAGATAGGGGCTCCCTAACTTTTCCCAGGCTGACTTCAAACTCACTGCTACTGCCTCTCCCTCCCAAGTGGGTGGGGCTACAAGTATGCACCACCACACCTGGCCCCCATCTTTACACTGCTGAATTCCCACACTATGCCTATTTGTTTAAAGAAAAAGAAGGAAGAGCAAGGAGAACCGGAAAGAAAGTCCCCAAGGGGACGGGAGGTTGTCTGGGGCTGGGTGAGGCCCCGGGCGCGTTCCCACACTCCGCCTGGCCCTGCGCAGCTGCTTTGCTCCTGGCAGGAAGCCTGTGCAGATAAGGCTGCAGCCTCCCAGCGGCCGGGCCAGGGCGGCAGGCGGGCGGGGGTCTCTGTAAATAGCCGCCATGAGGCTCCGCAGGGCAGTGTCCCGCGACCGGCCACCAGCAGGACCAGGCCCTTGCCCAGCGTGCTACAGGTAGGAGCCGCTGCTGCCCCGGAGGCGAATGGGGTGGAATCCTGCTGCCGGGAAGTGGCAAGTCTGGTAGTCAGGCCCAGCCCGGCACAGGATCCTAGAGTTTGGTTGGTTCAGTAGGTAACGACGGAAACTCCCTGAAGCCCACTGCTGAGGCAGTTTGTGTGGGTGAGCGTCAGCAGGGGACAGAGCTGGGGCTCGGACACAGGGAAGCCAGAGCACCTGCGGGCTGGGGAGCAGCTGGGTCTCCCGCGAGACAGACCCTGAGCAGGCGGGCCTGGGGCGTGCACAGCTAGGCGGCGACTCTAGCCCTCTGTGGGATTAGAGAGCAGAGGCGCCAGCTCTAGCTCACAGCCTTCACACCAGCTCGTGTGTGTGTTGCACCCAGAGGTTTCACCGTGGGGCTTTACACGGTGATTTGCTTTTGTCTATGGCTTTGGAAATCTGTGTGACAGAGAACAGACCAACAGACCACTCAACGATTCCTCCGAGCCAGCGACTGGGTGCGGGAGGCGGGGGGTGGGGGTGGGTGGGGGGAGCGCTGTCTCACTGAGGTCTGGGAGTCTGCCTGCACCTCCATGCCCGGTGTGGAGGACAGCAGGGTGGTGGGTCAGTTGGCCCGTGAGGGCTGCCCCCCAAGGCTGCCGGGTGGGGTTCCTCCTGGTACCCGGCTGGTGAGATGCAGGGTTGCCCAGCCACTGAAGCAAAGCGCAGAATTGTGTGTCTGGCTACTCAAGTCCTGCATCTCCCCTCCCATGTCATTCTTTAGGCTAGCTCTTTTCTTCAAATGCTGCGTTTAATCTCCCCAGCAAGCCGCTCACCCGCTGCTGGGCCTCTGCCCGGGCGGCTGAGAGATAACGTTGTTATTTGTTATTCTTACAGCTAGCCTGGAATGGCTGCAGTGCCTTGGTTTATAAAACCAAATTCTTCTGCAGCGAAGGCAGCCGATCACGGAGCCCCGTGTCAGGGAGTGCTCCTCAGCACCCCACGTGCCTCTGCCCTGGCCTGCTCAGTGCCAGGGAGGGACCCGTAGCTTGGGATGGAGTCTGCCTGGGGCTGAAGGGAGGGTCTGCGGCCACCCCACAGTGGTGACAGCCAGAATGCCAGCAGTGAACACGTGTGGGCTGGAGGGGGGCTGGCCAGGTTTGCTCTGGCTCCTGCCTCACCTACTGTCTTTGGAGGTGTCACAGCCTTCTAGAAGCCTCTGTAGGGACTTGCACTGGGAGTGATGGACTGTGGGCTTTTGAGAGCCATGCGAGTCCTGCCGGCAGCTGCTGCCCATGTCCCAGACCACTGCCAACTAGTGAGGACACACATCCCTGGCAGCTCCAGTGCCAGACACACAGGAACACTGGGACAGTCCGCACCCTCCCAGTACCAGGCGTCCACGGGGGGGGGCCCGTGCCCCTGCAGTGTGCAGGGCCATTACTGCAGGAGGTGGCTGGACCAGAAGGAAGCAGACATCTGTCTCTGGGCGACTTCTGAGTCTGCCATGGTTACGTGCACAATGGTCTGTGGCAAGCGTGTCATCTGGGTAGGGGGTTCTGGACAGAGACAGCAGAGCAACAATCCAAGTGTGGCCTCAGGTGTCTGAGGACTGGCCAGGGAGCTCTGTGTGCACAGCGGACACAGCTGAGCTGGACACAGGGAAGAGCAGGAGATGGAGAAGCGCGGCCTTGGGTTTAAGCTGTGAGCTGTGTGTGTGTGTGTACACACACTCACACTGATGCTGGGGCTTGAAATCAGGACCTGGGAACTCTCCCTGAGCTGTTCAAGGCTGGCGATCTAAAACTTGAGCCATAGCTCCACTTCCAGCTTTTTGGTAGTTAATTGGAGACAAGAGTCTCACAGATTTTCCTGCCTGGGCTGGTTTTGAACTGCGATCCTCAGATCTCAGCCGCCTGAGTAGCTAGGATTATAGGCATGAGCCACCAGTGCCAGCTTTTAAATTTCTTTTTCTCGGGTTGGAAAGGTGGCTCAGTAGTAGAGTCCTTGCCTAGCATGCATGAAGCCCTGGATTTGATTCTTCAGTACCTCATAAATAGAAAATGCCAGAAGTGGTGTTGTGGCTCAAGTGGTAGAGTGCTAGCCTTGAGCAAAAGCAGCTCAGGGACAGCACCCAGTCCCTGAGTTCAAGCCTCAGGACTGGCAAGAGTAGTTTTTTCTTTAGGTGCCCCTGTCATGGAGGGGCAAGGGGCAACAGGCCCTGCGCCTCCTGGGACAAGCACAAGATCCCCAGCTCCCCCCCCCCCCCCCCATTGGGCCTCCTCTAACCCTCTGCTTGATTCCCAGGAGGAGGCCTCTTCGTGCTGGTGTCTGGTGGAGTCCCGTTGCACTTGGTGGCAGACCTGGGCCTGGGCTCCTGCCTGTGGACTGAGCGGTCTGTGGGGCTCAAGGTTCACCTCTGAGGTGCCAGGCCAGCTGTCCTCTGCTGAGGCCAGCCTGGGCCCCGGAGCTCGCCTTGGTCGCCGGGACATTCGGCCAGCTCTGCCTCGAGCCTAGCTTGGGGAAGAGGCTGCTTGGCTGAGGCTGGGTGACCCTCAGCGATCACAGTTGGCGTGAAAACCCAGGCCTGAATGGGCCCGGGCATGGGCTGCGCTGCTCTGCTCGCTGGCCGCACTGCAGTGTCCCTGCCTTCCTCCCCAGAGGTAAGCGTCCGGCCTGCGCTCACCATGAGCAGAGTCCTGGCTCTCGCGGGCTGGCTGATCGGCCTGGCCTTCCTGTCGCTGCTGCCTTCTGGATGCCCTCAGCCCACGGCAGACGACCCCTGCTCCGTGCAGATCCTCGTCCCTGGCCTCAAAGGTAACTGACCGCCCCCCTCCCCTCTGGCTCTGGCGGCACGCAGGCTGGCGTCCGGTCAGGTGGGCCCCAGGAAGATCTGCTCGTCTGCGGAGGCTGTTTTCAGGGTCTGGTTACAGGAGGTCTAATGATGCTCCAGCCAAGGAGCACCCCTTGTGCAATCCTGAGGTTAGCCGCTCGTCTGTAACTCAGGGTCTCCCTACCGTCCTCTGTGAGGACACCTTGTGGCTGTCTCAGGCACTGCAACACAATCTGCACACAGGGTGAGTGCACTGGGTTCATTCTACAGATAGGGAAATCAAGGCTCTGGGAGATTCAGCAATTTGCCTGAGGCCCCACAGGGTGCCCTGTTGCTGGCTCCTGAGGGCTCTTTTTTTTTTTTTTTTTGGTCGGTCATGGGGCCTGGGCACTGTCCCTCAGCTCTTCAGCTCAAGGCAAGTGCTCTACCACTTGAGCCACAGTGCCACTTCTGGTTTTCTGGTGGTTAACTGTAGATAAGAGTCTCACGGACTGTCCTGCCCTGGCTGGCTTTGAACTGCGATCCTCAGATCTCAGTCTCCTCAGTAGCTAGGATTACAGGTGGGAGCCTCCCCACCTGAGGGCTCTTTATTTAGAAACTTGAGCTGGGTGTGATCGCCTGTCTGTATCATCCTTGCTTCCAGAGGCTATAGAGGGAGACCCTGTCTCACAGAAAGATTCTTTGTGCTTCCTTGCTGCTTTGTCTGTAGCCTGCTTCCAGTGGGGAGCTGTATGGTCCGGAGAGGGCAGCAGCGGTGGGAAAGCCTGGGCCTCATCCTGGAGAGTCAGCTGGGCCTGCAGAGCAGCCCCACCACTCCCAGACGGGGGGGAGGGGGGGCGGGCAGGGGGAGAAGGGGTGGAAACAGGGCCCTTGCTCCTTAGGGACTTTGGGAGGGGCCCAGGGAGCCCGGGGCTGGCAGGGGTCCTGAGGGCGGGAAGGCCTGGCCTGTGCCCGAGCCCGTGCGGGTTTGGAGAGACCACTGTCACTTTTGGAGCACCCCCCATGCATGCCGCCGGCTGCTCATCCTCCCCTGCCCCCCAGCATGGCTCTGGCCCCCAGGAGGCTCGTGGGCTGCTGTATGGTGCAGCCCTTAGAGAAAGCTGATCCCAGCGTCTTGCAGCTGTAAAAGTGTGTAGAACTAGCAACCACACAAGACCCACTGCAGGGGGAGTTTCCGGGCTGCAGGCCCAGCTGCTGCTCACCCCAACACAGGAGGTAGAGGGAGGGTGAAGGGCAGAGCGAGCTGGCGGAGGGAGAGGGCAGTTGCGCGGCCCTGCGGCTGGCTCTCCTCCATTCTGGCGTCTTCCACGCTTCCCCTGGGAGACGACCCTGCTCCCAAGGAGATTGCCGCCCGGGGTCGCTGTCCTCAGGCTGAGGTGTCACCACTCTCATGTGGGGTGCCTTGGGAACCCCAGTGTGGCTGCAGGGGAGACCCTCAGGCTTAAGGAGACAGAAGCAAAATGGAGGCAGGAATCCAGGCTTCTCTTTGGCTGTGGTTAGCCGTGGGCCCCAGAGGGCGTTGGTGCCTTCTCAGCAGAGTTCCTTTCTGAGACCGTTACAAAGCCGCAAGCGTCTCTGCACGCATCTAAGCAAGGGTGTAAGGCCCTGGGTTTGAGTTCAAGTCCAAGGCCACCCCCACCACCAAGAAGAGGTCTACACGCTAATGCCAGGGAACTTGCAGATCAGCGAAGATCCCTGCCGATGGAGGAGCCCACCTGTGTGCCCAGGGTTCCTGCCCTGCACACTGGCTGACAGACGCTGCGTGGTCCTACCTTCTTCCAGGTCACTCAGAGCTAGGCCGTGTGGGCTTTTCCGCTGCATTCTCGGCCCTGTGGGGAAGCAGGGACCTGTGGTGACATGAGCATCTTGCTGGTGTGCACGGTGTCCTTCCTAGACAATTACCACGGCCCTGTGGTTGGTTCTTTTGTTAGACCTGGGGCTTCAACTCAGAGCCTGGACATTGTCCCTGAGCTTTTGTGCTCAAGGCTAGTGCTCTGCTACTTGAGCCACAGCCCATTTCTGGCTTTTGGTGGTTAATTGGAGGTAAGAGTCTTATGGACTTTCCTGCCTGGGCTGACTTTGAACCGAGATCCTCAGATCTCAGCCTCTTAAGTAGTTAAGATTACAGGTATGAACCACCAGTGTCCAGTTTCTCCTTGGTTCTGTGTGTGTGTGTGTGTGTGTGTGTGTGTGTGTGTGTGTGTGTGTGTGTACCAGTCCTGGGGCATGAATTTGGAGCGCAAGTACTGTCTCTGAGCTTTGTTTGCTCAAGGCTAGTGCTCTACCATTTAAGCTACAGTTCTACTTTTGGCTTTCTTGGTGGTTAATTGTAGATAAGAGTCTCATAAGCTGGGCACTGGTGGCTCACTCCTATAGTCCTAGCTACAGGAGATTGAGATCTGAGGATCATTGTTCAAAGCCAGTGAAGGCAGGAAATTCCTTGAGACTCTGATCTCTAATTAATCACCAGAAAATCCGAAATAGCACTGTTGGCTCAATGGTAGAGTGCTAGCCTTGAGCAAAGGAGCTCAGGAACAGTACTCAGACCCCGAGTTGAAGCCCCAGAGGCACTACCACCACCACCAGCAACAACAGCAGAGTCTCACAGACTTTCCTGACTGGGCTGGCTTCGAACCAAGATCATCAGGTCTCAGTCTCCTGAGTAGCTAAGATCACAAGCACGAGCCACTGGTGCCCGCTTCCCTGTGGTTCTTTTTTTTTTTTTCCCTTTTCTTGTCAGTCCTGGAGCTTGAACTCAGGACCTGGGTACTGTCCCTGAGCTGCTTTTGCTCAAGGCTACTACTTGAACCGCAGCACCACTTCTGGCATTTTCTATTTATGAGGTACTGAAGAATCAAACCCAGGGCTTCATGCATGCTAGGCAAGCAGTTTACCACTGAGCCACCTTCCCAGCCCCTGTGGTTCTTATGAAGTAGGAAGTTTGAAGACTAGCCAGAGCTCCAGCTCTGATTCCTCATCCTCTGAGGCTCACCACCGGCCCTTTGCTTCTAAAGTACCGCCCTGGCTCTGCATGGCTGCATCCTGCTCTGTTCTCTGACCTCCATGTAGAGCTTGTCACTGTGTGGAAGCTCCTGCCTTATTTTATGCTGTTTCCTGCCTTGCTAATGAGAATTCTCCTGTCAATCTCACCCTCATTTACATGCACACAGGCCTGAGAGCACTTTTCCCATTGGGTAGCTGATAGAATTTTCTCTTTGTTCATGATGTTTTGCAATGCTAGGCTGACACGTGGATGCTAGTTGTCTCTGATTTTTCCTGAGTGTCTTTCTGTGGGCCTGGCCTTCCTGTTGTATGGGGAGATCCGCTAGGAAATCTTCATGGTCACCCAGGCTTCAAAGGCCTGTGCAGTCTTTCTGGAAATCCTGGAATGCCAGTGCATTTATGAGTTTTTTTTTCCTTCAACTTTCAACTTGAGAGCTAATTTCAAAGCAGAGCCAGCAAATGTTCAGAGTGGCTTGTCTCTGGGTACTACCTGTGAGGAATTCTTCATCTCTATCTTAATCCCTCACAGTGGGGTTTGTACGGGGACCGCAGCCCCCACCTCCAGGGCTGTTGGTTCTGCTTCTTGGTTGTAGCCTCTCCTGCGTGAGGCCGGCACTCTCCAGGCTTTTCTGGGGGCACCGCTCATCCCACCGCTGGCCCCTTGCCAGGCTGCTGGTGCTTTGCCAAGGATTGCGACTGCCACTACCTCTCGTCTTTTTCAAAGATAGAACAGTTGAGCCGGGTGCAGGTGGCTCACGCCTGTTATCCTAGCTACTCAGAAAGCTGTGATCTGAGGATCATGGTCCAAAGCCAGCCCAGGCAGAAAAATCCCCATGAAACTCTTATCTCTAATTAACCACTCAAAACAAAACAAAACAAAAAAAAACCCAAAAAAACAAAAAACCCTGGAAGTGGTGCTGTGGCTCAAAGTGGTAGAGTGCTAGCCTTGAGCAAAAGAGCTCAGAGACAGCCTCCAGGCCCTGAGTTCAAGCCCCACAACTGACAAAAAAAAAAAAAAAAAGTTTGAAAACTAGAGAGTCTGGGAACAGGACGCAGCCTGGGGACATCAGGATGCTCCAGCTCAGTTTTCTAGTTTCCAGTTCCTTTATTTTGCTTTTCTCTTTATTTCAGTCCTCTCTGTTAGCCTAGATTTTCAAGTTAGGGATTTTTTTTTTTTTTTTTTAATCGACAGTCCTGGGGCTTAACCTCGGGGCCTGAGCACTGTCCCTGAGCTTTTGTGCTCAAGGCTAGCACTCTACTACTTTGAGCCACAGTGCCACTTCCCGTTAGCTGGTGATTAATTGAAAATAAGAGTCTTAAGGCCTTTCCTGCCTGGGCTGTCTCTGAACCTTGATCCTCAGATCTCAGCCTCCTGATTGGCTAGGATGACAGGCGCGAGCATGGGTGCCCAGCAGGGGAGGGGCTTTTGGAGGGGACCTGTCATTGCGGCTGGTCCTCTCACCTGGCCAAGGGCGACAGTCAGTGCCGAGCCACTGAGAACTGAAGTTCACTCAAATGTTGGCCTGCCACGCGCTGAAGCCCCCCAGTGTACAAAGAAGGGCAAGTATTAGACCTGGTGATAATAATGCGCACTTTTATGTGATGGCCACATAAAAATGACAGATACCGAGGAGGTCCTTAAAAAAGGGACGTTATTTATAACTGAGATGAAGCTGTTGGCAGCTTGATGTGTCTTTTGAGGAAGGAGAAGCAGTTTGATTTGTGCCTTAGGAAGGTCATTTGGGCTGGAATTGACGCGGAGGGGAGTGGAGGGGGTGATGAGGGGCCATGCCTCCCTGGCCCCTACAGCTGCTATACTCTCTGCACCCCGTCTCCGTCTCTGGCCCCCAGACCAGCGCAGGCTTGCTCACCTGGTCCCAGAAGCACACCAAGGAGCCCCAGAGAGTGTGCTCTGTGGGGGCTGTGCTGAGGGTGAGGCAGACACCCGTAGGACCCCAGTGTGGACGCGCGCCGTCCCCAGGACAGGGCTCTGCCCTTCACAGTGGGGTTCCTTCCTTTTGGTGTGTGGGTGGGGTGGGTCACGTGGACAGGAGGTAGTGTGTGACAAATCCACTCCCTGAAGGAGAAACTGGGGTGAGGAAAGAGCCCCCAAGGATGGAGCTGGGAGTCTGCCGCTGGAGGCCTGGCCAGCCACAACCCCCCCCCCCCCCCCCCCCCCCCCCCGCTCGCCCTCGGGAGCATCTTCCTCATTCCTGGCCCTCCACTGCCTGGCCAGGCTGCTAACCAAATCTGACTTCTTACACAGGGGACACAGGGGAGAAGGGAGACAAAGGAGCTCCGGGGAGGCCTGGAAGAGTCGGCCCTACAGGAGACAAAGGTACCTGCCAGCCCCGCTGTGTGGCTGTGTGGGGCGGAGGGCGGGGTGGGTGGAGACCTCCTGGTGGGTGCTGCAGGGAGGGTGTCTGCACTGGGTGCAGCTAAACACCTGCGTCTTGCTGGCCAACATGGCAGACAGAAGGCCCAGCAGGTGCAGTGCTGGCTGTAAGATGGGAACCTTGAGTCTCAGGATCTTATGTGAGCCGCGACCACCCAGCGAACCCAGCAAGTCAGTGCAGCCAAACCTCTGTTTCTGAGAGAGGAGTCCACACAAGGTGCGGAGCATGTGAGGAGGATGGAAAAGTTGATGAGATCGAAGTGAGATGCGCTGCAAGGGGCCGTGGTCTCCGGGAGGCCCTGAGCCCCAAGGTTTCGTTCAGCTGGGGTTTTACTCAGCTTGGGGCTCATTTAGTGTGAACTCTGATGGTCAGGTTGACAGGTGGGCCCAGCTAACGTGCCAGGTGCACGTCTGTGCATGTCCGCTGGGACCCTTGTGCACTCACTTCCTGTAGACTGGTCCTGAACTGGAGTCCTAGCACCGACGGCTGAGAGGGCCCCGACTCGCCCTCTGTGCTGTGTCCTGGGTGTGGAGGGTGCTCTGTGCTGTGTCCTGGGTGTGGAGGGTGCTCTGTGCTGTGTCCTGGGTGTGGAGGGTGCTCTGTGCTGTGTCCTGCCTGTGGAGGGTGCTCTGTGCTGTGTCCTGGGTGTGGAGGGTGCTCTGTGCTGTGTCCTGGGTGTGGAGGGTGCTCTGTGCTGTGTCCTGGGTGTGGAGGGTGCTCTGTGCTGTGTCCTGCCTGTGGAGGGTGCTCTGTGCTGTGTCCTGGGTGTGGAGGGTGCTCTGTGCTGTGTCCTGGGTGTGTGGAGGGTGCTCTGTGCTGTGTCCTGGGTGTGGAGGGTGCTCTGTGCTGTGTCCTGGGTGTGGAGGGTGCTCTGTGCTGTGTCCTGGGTGTGGAGGGTGCTCTGTGCTGTGTCCTGGGTGTGGAGGGTGCTCTGTGCTGTGTCCTGGGTGTGGAGGGTGCTCTGTGCTGTGTCCTGGGTGTGTGGAGGGTGCTCTATGCTGTGTCCTGGGTGTGGAGGGTGCTCTGTGCTGTGTCCTGGGTGTGGAGGGTGCTCTGTGCTGTGTCCTGGGTGTGGAGGGTGCTCTGTGCTGTGTCCTGGGTGTGGAGGGTGCTCTGTGCTGTGTCCTGGGTGTGTGGAGGGTGCTCTGTGCTGTGTCCTGGGTGTGTGGAGGGTGCTCTGTGCTGTGTCCTGGGTGTGGAGGGTGCTCTGTGCTGTGTCCTGGGTGTGGAGGGTGCTCTGTGCTGTGTCCTGGGTGTGGAGGGTGCTCTGTGCTGTGTCCTGGGTGTGGAGGGTGCTCTGTGCTGTATCCTGGGTGTGTGGAGGGTGCTCTATGCTGTGTCCTGGGTGTGGAGGGTGCTCTGTGCTGTGTCCTGGGTGTGGAGGGTGCTCTATGCTGTGTCCTGGGTGTGGAGGGTGCTCTGTGCTGTGTCCTGGGTGTGTGGAGGGTGCTCTATGCTGTGTCCTGGGTGTGTGGAGGGTGCTCTGTGCTGTGTCCTGGGTGTGGAGGGTGCTCTGTGCTGTGTCCTGCCTGTGGAGGGTGCTCTGTGCTGTATCCTGGGTGTGTGGAGGGTGTTCTGTGCTGTCCTGGGTGGGTGGAGGAGACATTATACATCTGGATTCAGCTCCTGGCTATCATTTTCTTTGGCTTTTCTTGGAAGCCCTTCATTTTTCTGTTGATTTTAAGGAATTATTTTGTTGGATATAATGATATTAATTAGCATTTATTTTAGGGCTTGAAATATAATATTCTGGGATTTTTTTAGTTCTTTCTTGGCATTTTAACTATGATGTAGGGGCTGGGAAGGTGGCTCAGTGGTAGAGCGCTTGCCTTGCATGCATGAGGCCCTGGTTTTGATTCTTCAGCACCACATAAGCAAGAAGAAAAAAGGTGGAAGTGGTGCTACGGCTCAAGTGGCAGAGCACTATCCTTGAGCTGGAGAGCTGAGGGACAGTTCCCAGGCCCAGAGTTCAGCACCCATAACTGGACCCCCAAACAAACAAACAAACAACCTATGATGTGAAGAGTTTCTTTTCTTCTCATGTGTATTTGAGATTCTAAATTCCTCCTGCATTTGGCTGTTCATATCTTAACCTACATTTAGGATATTTTCTTTTATAATTTCATTAATTGTTTACTGTGCTTTTTACTTTGTATCTCAGTTCCTCTTCTATGCCATAGATTATTAGGTTTGGTCTCTTCACTATGTTCAGAGTTGACAATGTGGTCATGTCTTCTCCCTCCCTCCCTCTCGCCCTCCCTCTTTCCCATTATTGCTGCTTGAATATAATATTTCCTTGGTCTTGTCTTCAATCCTTGATATTTGTCTTTCACTTGATCTAGTCTAATTGTGACACTTGATATGTTTGTCTGTTTGGTAGTCCTGGGTTTGAACTTATTTTTCTTTTTTTTTTTTTGGGTCCGGTCGTGGGGCCTGAACTCTGGGCCTGAGCGCTGTCCCTCAGCTCTTCAGTTCAAGGCTAGCACACTACCACTTGAGCCACAGTGCCACTTCTGGCTTTTTTCTTTTTGCTTATGTGGTGCTGAGGAATCGAACCCAGGGCCTTGAGCATGCAAGGCAAGCGCTCTAGCACTGAGCCACCTTCCCAGCCCGTGGGGTTTGAACTTAGAGTCTTGTACTTGCTAGTCAGGCACTCTAGTATTTGAACCATACCCCCAGCCCTATTTGCTTTTATATTTCTCTTTGGTTGGTTGTGGGACTTGAACTCAGGGCCTGGGTGCTGTCCTTCAGCTCTTCAGCTCAAAGTGAATGTTCTACCACTTGAGCCACAGCGCCATTTCCCATTTTCTGGTCATTTATTGGAGATAAGAGTCTCACAGACTTTCCTGCCTGGGCTGGCTTTGAACCAAGATCCTTAGATCTCAGCCTCCTGAGTAGCTAGGATTATAAGCCTGAGCCACTGGTGCCAGGCTGCTTTTATAATTTTTATTTTTTGTCAGTTGTGGGGCTTGAACTCTGGGCCTGGGCACTATCCCTGAGTTCTTCTGCTCAAGGCTAGCACTTTATCATTGTGACCCACAGTGCCACTTACCGTTTCCTGGTGGTTAAAAAAAAGCAAGTTCCTGGCATGCTTTTACTATTTTTTGAATAGAGTCTTGAGGTTATGCCCCAGGATGGACCGTACTTATCCCCATTTCCCACATAGCTGGAATGACAGGGACCTGCCACTATGCCAGCTTTATTAGTTGAGAAGGATTTTTATGAACTCTTTGCCCAGGGTGACTTTGAACTATGATTTTCTGATCTTAGTCACTGAAGTAGCTCGGGTGATGGCGTGAGCCACTGTGCTTGGCTTTCAAGTGTTTCTGTTTGGTTTATTAGTCCTTTCCGTCCAGTTTCCCTGAGTGGTTTTAGCTGCCTTGCTTATTTCCTCATCTAGGTATTGTTAACCTCCTTACTTCATTCATCCATTGAGTCCTTTTGTTCCCCAGTCCTGGGGCTTGAACTCAGGGCTTAGGCACTGTCCCTGAGCTTCTTTTTGCTCAAGGTTAGAGCTCTCCTACTTGAGCCACAGTGACACTTCTGGCTTTTGCTGTTTCTGTGGTACTGAGGGATTGAACCTGGGGCTTTGTGCATGCTAGGCAGGCACTCTACCACTGAGCCACCAGGCCCATTTAGTCCGTTTTGAGGTCATGGTCTGGACCTAGTTCAGCCTGAGGTCAGTGGTCATGGTCTAGTCCTGTCTGAGGTCAGTGGTTGGGGCCTAGTCCTACCTGACTTGGCCGCTCACCTTTGTCTTCTGCAGAGTTTATGTTGATCGTGCATGTAGCCAGGTTTAAAATCCTGTGGAGGTCACATTGGCTGTCCTTATCCCCTCCCCCTCCCACTGTCCTGACTCGATGCCCTCCCCCCTCCCCTGTGCCCACTGTCCTGGCTTGGAGCCTGTGGGCTTCTGCTTGGCCGTGGGACTTGGCGCGTTGATAAGACTTGGCAGGTCACCAGGACAGATGCTCCCAGCTCATTTCTTTCTTTCTTTCTTTTTCTTTTTTTGTTCGGTCCTGGGGCTTGAACTCTGGGCCTGGGCTGTCCCTCAGCTCTTCAGCTCAAGGTGAGTGCTCTACCACTTGAGCCACAGCGCCACTTCTGGTTTTCTGGTGGTTCATTGTTTGTTTTTGTTTTTTTTTTTTTGAGTCTGGTCATGGGGCCTGAACTCTGGGCCTGGGCGCTGTCCCTCAGCTCTTCAGCTCAAGGCTAGTGCTCTACCACTTGAGCCACAGTGCCACTTCCGGCTTTTTTCTTTTTGCTTATGTGGTGCTGAGGAATCGAACCCAGGGCCTCAGGCATGCAAGGCAAGCACTCTACCACTGAGCCACCTTCCCAGCCCCTCTGGTGGTTCATTGGAAATAAGAGTCTCAAGGACTTTCCTGCCCAGGCTGGTTTTGAAAGTGATCCTCAGATCTTAGCCTCCTGAGTAGCTAGGATGACAGGCATGAGCCACTGGCGCCCGGCTCCAGCTCATTTTCTTGATGTATCTTATACCTCTGCAACCTGTGAATCATGAGGACAAATCTCTGTTGCTTTCATCTTTGTGTCCCTAGGGCCCAGTGTGATGCTATCACCCCAGAGCCCTTGAGATTTGATATCAAGTAGCATTGAAATCTGGGGGCAACCACAGCTCTGGCCTAGGCCCCAGGCCCACTGCTCGCTCCCTTGCCGAGTCTGGGAAGGCGGTCTGTGGGTGGGCGCTCTGGGCCCATGTACTGGGCTGTGCGCTCAGCTGGCTACCGCGTGGGGCTCTGGCTGGCCCTGGCTCCTGGCCGCGCCTCTCCAGCTTCAGGAGGTATGGTGCGACCTGCACGTCTGTCAGCAGACCCAGGTGTGGTGACTGTCGCGCTGGGCTGCCCGGTGGGGGATGGAGAACTGGGCCTGCACAGCTCAACTTCCAGGAAATGCAGGCCGGGCCTGCAGCAGGCGCTCCAGG